CAAACTCCTAACAAATTTAAAAATTTTCTGTTTCTTTTTCCTTTCTATCTACTTCATGCTAACCAAACGAACCCTTAGGTTGATGTTATTTTTTAATAAAAAAATATCAGAATAACTTAAGGGTAAAATTGTAAAATCACAAGTAAACTTAACTTTGTGTAACTTAAGTGTTAAAAAAAAAAAAGAAAAAAAGAAAAAAAAGTATTGGTCTAATTTATTTAAAACCTTTACTCAATAAAACGATGTCTCTACATACACCCACTAAAATCCACCAAACTCAATAAAGTTACCATATAATCAAAACTTTTACCTTTGCAACAAGAGTAAAAGTATAGAGTATCCCGGGGTTTCAAGAAAATAGTACCGACCAATGCTAATTCACTATTTCCTACAATTAAGAGAATGATGGAATTTTATAACAGCCTGGTATTAAATACTAGTAGTTATTCTATTTTTCTAGTTTCCTCAACCTATTTTAATCAAATCTGTGAAATTATAAAAGTAAAATTCCAAATAAATAAAAGTGTATCTATATATTTATATACATATATATACATATATTTTATTAGCAAGAAATGAACAGACCTTTTCCTTGGTCCATCAGCTTGCACATTAGAAGGTTAAATAGGAAACAAACTGCCCAAAAGAAAGCAGGCTCAAAGGGCCAAACAGGTTCAATGGCCAAACAAGCTGCTACCAACAAAAACCCAGAACAACGAGGCCCAAACAACCCACAAAACAAATGAACTGAAAATTAAAAAAACTAGCCGTTAAAGCTACGAAGAACAAAAGCGCTCTCTCTCTCAGTCTGTCTCTCAAATTCAAGCTGAAGAACACCGAGTGATCATATAATATATTTATTTTGATATTTTTGATTATTTCTGGCTCGATCACAATAAAATATTTGTTTGACAAAAATAATAATTTAAATAAATAAATATATAATAAATCATTTTGTCTAAAATGATTTATTATAATTTAAAGTAAATTCGAAATAAATACAAGTAGAAATGATGCAAATATTGAAAATATAACCCTCTAACTATTAATTACATAACTACCCAAAGTGTCGGTCTAAGGATCCCGAAGAATCCGCCGAACAAATCAAAGTAATTATTAATTAATAAAAAAGTCTATATTTTTCTCATACTTAAGAGTCAAATGCCATGATGGTGATAGGGAGTAATTGCATACGATGGCTCTCGCGATATATCCCAATTCAAATCTTAATTAATTATGAGTCCATCCATAATTACCGACTATGAACCATTTATAATTACTATTTATATATCATGCATTGATTGCCTTCACATACATATATATAAATATCTCTTGTAATCAAATGGACACTATCAATTCTATAATGAATCCAAACATAATACATTGAATTCACCAATTGTACAAAAACATAAATATTTCAAAAACGTTAGGAACATATGTCACTTTAATCCAAACAGGAATTTGCTATGCCAGGGTATATAAATCCCAACAAGTAGCATGGTAATTGTTTGATAAAATTCCAACTAGAGGAGTCTCTCTCTGCAGGTGTCAGTGGGCTTTGAAACCCTAATTATATATCTTGCTCTTGTTGGTATACTATAGTCAATCTATCTGTTGTTAATTTGATTCACTCCACACTGCTTATATTGGACTGTAATGGTTTTGATCGAGTTGCAATATTGGTGAGGATGAGGGTACTGAGGAGAGGACCAAGACTACAAATTCAAATGGGTTTTCTACTTGTTTGATCTTTTGGCTTTTCTTGTTTACCAAATCTGGTTTGCTATGTTGAATGAGTCTGCTAATACAGCAGTCAAGTTTTTGATGCCAGGTGAAAACTAAAACCTTCCTAACAACAGAGGAGATCATGACATCAAAGATCAAGCAATTGAAGAGGAACAAGGTGTGTTAATTGTTTTTTTCATTGTTAGCTTCATAACATTGCTATTTTATATTCAATTGAAGTTGCAGAAGTTAGGAACAATACAAATATTTTGTGGAAAAAATATATATATGCAGAAAAAAATCATTAATTTGAATTACATTAATCCTATTGTTGAAGATGAGAAGCCATCTCTTTAATTGGCAGCATCCTCTACCTGAGTTGGGAGTTGAACAAGTGCAAAGCAAAGTTGCAATTCGGGCGTTCAGAATGACCAAACTTGAAGAATGTCATCTTCAACAAACTGATTGGCTTTGGCAATGAATTTCCAAGGCATACACTGGGCTACTCATATCCCACATTTTAATCTGTGTCCTAAATTCATTCAATCCCGGATCAATCAGTAAAGCGTCTATTCCCACCCGTTTCTTTCCTTCTTTCATCTTCAACCGTGCCTTTTCATCATCGGTCAGAAATTGGCTTCTCACATCGTTCACCGGCATGGACAAACGTTTGTGATCAATGCTAAGATCAGTAGCAAACAAGGTCTTCTGTATCAGCAGCTGGATTTTAGAACCGCCAATCTTGCCGATTCTATTCCTCATCCATATAGGCATGTCCATTATACTTGTTGGTCTTCTTCTTCTCACCATTGATGATCAAGTTTTGATGATCAGTGGCCAAAGTTTCAAGAAACAGATTATTGATGATGGGTTTCTTGCCCTGTTTCTTCATGGGTGATCGGAGGGGCAGTTTCTTGATGGGCTCCTTGGGAGTTGAAAAATGATTGGTGGGTGTCTGAATCTGATGATGATTCATGGGCTTCTTGAGAGATGGTGATCTCTGTTTCTTGACTGGCCATGGGAGAAGCAGAGAGAGGCGATGGTTTTCTGTGTCATATTTGTCCCTGGCAATTCTGCAAACTTCCATCAAGCAATCGAATGGACTCTCCAATTGGGATTGATCTCAACTACATCTTCAAGGCGTACGTCGCTCAACACCATCTTCTTCTTCTTCATCGATTCTTGCGCAGTGGAAAAAAGTGAAACGGACACACACTACTTACGCATTCACTTTGTAGTCGATCTCTCATTATCTACTTTAAAAAATAGAGGAGATATCACTCGGCCTCAAAGTCCTTTGTAATGAATACACTAATTAAATTGACACTAGTACACCGCTTCATATTTTGAATTTTTTTTAATTTAATTAGTATATATTTTACTATTATAAGCCTTCAATATTCCATGAATTGGCCAACCCGTCCAATTTCTCAAATTTTAACAAAATTAAATAAATACATATTTATAAGTATAGTACTATATGTTTACTAAATCCATCAGCTCTCTATTTCTTTTCTTATTCCTGGATATTTAGTCAACTGCATAGCAAATTCAAGCAACATAAATTATGTGAAGCACACCATGAAATCTCCGAACAACTCAAATTTCTAAATTTTAAGAAAATCTCTGTTCTTCTCCTCTAATATGAGTTTGATGTTTCCACCTTCCTATTTTACTGGAAGGTTGTGTCCTACCGTTGTTGTTTTAGAGTCTTCCAAAATTATGTGGAGATTATGGAGAATTGTAGAGAGAGAAAGTTAGACGATACTAAAATGTTGGAGAGTGATAGATATTGCAGGGAACAGAGAATATTCTAAAATAATATAGAATGTTGTTGTGTTGTAAATATTGACAATATTTATGTGGAGAGTTTGAAAGAGTTATTGTATGCCTATAAATAGGATGAGAGTTCCATTCGTGAACAATAAGCTCTAGGTGACCACCAGCCTTATTAGTTGTAGAAGTATTGATTTGTTTGAGTTGAATGATGTTATACATTATTAATTGATGATATAAGAAAAGGGAAAGAACGATCCCTGGAGGCGTCCGTTTTTAGACAGTGATGATATAAGAAAAGGAAGCGAGTGATTTTACTTAATATATAAAAAGGAAAGTAGGGTAGGAATCACGCAAGTTCCTGGTCGGCTGGCTTTGTTTGCCGGCTTATTCCTGTTTGGAAACTAGTAATGCTTTGTTGTATTAAGTCTGGAGGTGGCGTGTATTAACTTACTCTTGTAAATGTCTCTCAAGTATAATGAGAATATTATAGAATCCACTCGGACATTGTGTTACATTGCAAAAACACCTTTTTTCTTTTCCGCTTAATTTCAGTTATAATGTTAATACTGACTGAGGTCTCATAATTCACGAAAAAAAAAAAATTAAGATCTTAGAATCTTTTTATTTTCTACATTTTAAAAGTTGTTAAAGGGGTTTTTCATGTTCTACCAAAATTTTTCTTCATACCGAGTATAAATGTAGTGTACCTTTCCCAAATGAGGTATCTCAGATCAATTCAAGGAAGAGTGAGTTGCAATGCCACTAATGTTCTAGGATATATTGCAGGTTTACTTGGAGAACATCACCTAGAACTATAAATATATATATTTTTTTCCCTTCTATTTTGGAAGGTGAGTAAGTACCATTTTGAAAGTTGGTTTTTCTGTGACATTTACCTTGAGAAATGAGGAATCTTCTCTCTTTGGAATCGCTTTTCAGGTTCTACATGGTGAAGAAAGGGGGGAAATAGCCGCGCTACTTCTTTCCCCTTTGAGGCCAGCATTCAAGAGACCAACGTGCACTGAACCAAAACAAAATGGAAGTCAGTTTTACCATATGTTCTTGACTAATCCTCTTCAGGCATTTTGCCGGTTGATTGGCCTCACGTCTTTTGATATTGATGCAGTGAGTTAGTTGCAAAATGTACTGAGCATCTAGCATATTGATTGTATTCATTCACGAGGCTCTGCTTTCAGGATGTTTACAATGATGCTGACAACGTTGATTATATCCATTCACGAGTTTCTAGCAGCATTGCTGTAACGACCCTAACTGATGCCAAAATTTAAAAAAAATTCGACATGACCTCCCCTAAAAAGGGGACTACAACCACCTGCTTAAATAAAAAATAAAAATAAAAACGCAATGGCCCTTCCTGGCCTTTCAAAACACCTCCAACCTGTCCCAACACATAATAAAATTAATATACTCCAACATCCCATCCATCCGTTCATTATACCTCAATGTGACTCATCTCATAGTGGAACATCTTCATATCGTTTAATCCAAATTATCATAATTACAGTCCCAAAATATAGTTACAATAACAAGAGTTTCACGAATCTCTATACCAAATATAACAAACTAAGATTTTACAAAAATATGGGACTTAATACAAAAATAGCAAAAAGAAGTCTTCTAATCCAAATTAGGCCTGTGGTGGAAAGTCATCCGCCACTTCTTTCCCGTTTCCTGAAAAAAATTATTAAATAATAAGGTGAGCATAAAGCTCAGTAGGTAGCACTTAAGACACGCATCTTGTGTCCTTGTGAATCAATATAAAGAATAGATCAATAGGAATGGGGATCATACAATATCGGGATAATACAACATTCCAATCAAACTCAAGTACAAACAATGCAATGCCATGAAATGCGAATGCATGCCGATGTCGCTCCCCGTTTTCACATTTAAAATCCATCTCTTTCAAACTGTTAATATAACCCGCCCTTTGGTGACCCCGCAGCGACACGAGAGGAGGATTGGCTAGTGTCCCTGACCCTTGGTAACCCCGCGGCGTCATTATGGGGCCCAGCTAGCTCAACCACGCTAGGACGACTCCCTAGTCCCCTCTAGGCTATATTAACACTCCGGCCCTTTGGTACCCTCGCGGCGACCGGGTTTTCATAAAACCATTTCGTAAAAACTCTTTTTCCAAAATTTCCTTTTTTGTTTCAAGCAAATTCTCCCATTTCATGCAAACCCAATGGTATGTACATGTATATATATCCCATGCTTTCAATATTATGGCATTTAGAATTTTACACCACATAATTAAGCATACATCATATTTAACATCTCTAAATGAATTATCAATACATTAAACACAACAAGACAACACAAAATTTTACACCACAAAATTAAGCATACATCATGTTCAACATCTCCAAATGAATTATCAAAACATTAAACACAACAAGACAACCTCTAAGCATGTTTTTCTACTCATATTCATAATCATGAATTTTCCTAAACATCATTTATATAATCATTGAAACAATTAACTTCCAAATTAAACATGCTTGTCACAACAAAAGAGATATAATTCACAATGGAGCAAGAAAAACATGGATTAAGAGCCCCTACCTCTAAATTGAACAAAACCCTTGAAATTGGGTCCTTAAATTCGAGCTCCCAAAGATGACCAAAAGCTGGAATTTCTGGTACTAGCACGTAGAGCTCGTCGTGCTCGTCGTTTTGCCTCAAACGGCACCTAAATCCGCCAAGAATTGAGAGATAAATCAAGGATTGAAGTTGAAAAAGAAAAAAGAAAAGAAAAAAAAACAGAAGCAGCGAGAGAGAGATTTTAGCTGCCCGAGAGAGAAAGCAAATTGGAATTAAATGGGTCTGTAATGACCCTTATAACTCAGGTGGGCCCCACAGTTGAAAAGTCATTATACTATAGATAAGTCAAAAACTTTACAATTGCTTTCAGGATGTTTACAATGAGCTGCTCGAGGGCTGAAAAATGAAGAAGGTTTTACAAAAGTTTGCTTGATGATTTGAGCTACAATGGATCTCAAAATTCCACTAAAAGAGAGCACAAAATTGTTGAAGATCATGAAGGTTCTTTGGTGCTGATTTTCTGGTGAAAAGGGAGGCTGAGGAGGACCAATGCTGCTGTATTCACTTCTGGAGCTAGAACAAGGTTTGAGCATGTATATCTAGCTGATTTACAACTGCAGAAGGTGCCTAAAACAACACATTGAGGCTGGTATCAATTTTCATATCTCAAACCTCTAGTATGAATTGATTTTCTAGTTTAAGTACTTTAAATCTGAGCTTAACTTGTTAGACTTGAGCTATACATTGATTGTCTATCTTCTGAGCATGTTTAATTTGGTGATTTAAAGCTACTTAAGTGGAGACAAGATCAAGAAAATGACCATTTCAATTTTTGGTATAGTATACCTCATTAGTTAGGGTTTACTAATGTTTACCAGCATGCTATGTGTACTGTGAGTCTAATATCACCAAGATATTGCTGTGACTTTCATCTGAGCATATTTAAATTGATAATATATGAATGGGAGAAGCATGAACTGAGTTGTGCTGCTGCAGAATTACATTTCTGGCCCTAAGAACAGCAATATTGCAGAAAACTGTTTTGTGGCTGATATTGAGTGGCAAATTGAAATTATCTTGCTATATACTGAGAAGTGGTGGTTTGATTGAGTGTAATATGATGAAAGAAAGTTGTGAGAACTAAATTCAAGGAGCTCCAGTCACGGATTTACAGAACTGCCCCTTAAACGAGAATGTTACAGTAGCAGCAAAATACACCTGCTGTGAGCTATTATTTTGATGCTTTATGAGCTACATTGTTGAGTCCTTGTTGGTGTACCTTTTCCAAGCTTCAGACCAAGTGTAATCCATTAATTTCAAGCTGAGGGAGCCTTTGGTTGATGAGAATTTGAATTATCTTAAGGCTATGTTTGGCATATGGTGAAAACTAGGGTTTTAACCCTAAAGTTGCTGTTGTGTGCATCCAATGTTGATACCTTTCTGTTCTAATGTAAACCATAATCTGAGCAAGATTGGTTAGCTGTATTATGTCTATGGGAATCCTGTTGTGTTCAAGATTCTAGTGGATTTACAGTTTTACCCTTCTGAGCCTAAAACTTTAGTTGTGGCTGTTTTCAAGGCTGGTGTGTATCTGCAATATTATACGTTGCCATGGTCAATGTGATAGATATGTGAGCAAGTGTATCTTACCTATTGAAGACTGGGGGAGTGAAGTTTGGGTTGTCCCTGAGGCTACATTACAGATTTACTCTTGAGAGCATGAACACAAAAGGCATAACCTTAATAAGCCCTAGCCTTCATATTTTGCGTTCTTCCGTTGCTGCATATCCCTTCTCCTGAGAAATTACTTTCTTTTTTGGATATCTAAGTTATATGAAATATGTTTCGTTGCTCTTCTATGGCCTGGTTATTGCTACAATCTGTGAGGAGCTCCCTCCACAAAGTGTAGTGCTAATATATATCAGCCTCAGGTTACTTTCATTTTTATTGTTATCTTAAATGTGAACTGATCATTGCCTTAGAATCCTGGATAACTTAAACCAGTGATTTAAAATGCAGGGAAGCCGGGTCAAAGTAATGTTTTGCTGTTGGAAGGCTTCAGAGGTTCAAGGAAATCTTCAGAGATCAAAATTGTTTCTCACACTTCTCATGCGCAGAACGGCTTCATGCCTGAAAATCATGTTAATAACAAAGGAGACTCCACTCACTGTTTTAAAAATTATTTGTCTAGGTCCTAGCAGAAATGGAGTTAAGCAACCAATATTTGACTTATCCTGTGTCCGGTATGGTGCTTATTCTGAAGGGTTCAGTCATTATAATCTCTCTTCCTTTTTTTATTATTTTTATTATTTTTTATTTTTTATTTTTTTCTATTGATAGGTAAAAGCTCATGCACACAACACATTCACATGCCCACTAATGCCCCAATGTGGACTTGAACCCTCAACGTCTAGGAGGAGGATGAAATACTACTAGGCTGAGCCTATCGTATTATAATACCATTTTTTGCACCCTTGAAAGTACTTCTTTTGAATTTTCAGGTTCAAATAACCTTTACCCCTGTGATGTAATTCCTTTTACCTGAAGGCCGCTTTTCTTGATCATTGATAGTGACAATAGACGTGCATTCAAGGCAGGTTTGTCAAAACTTTTGAATGACTAGCTTGCCAGTTTCTGCAATACTTCTCATTAATTCTAAGATAGACTCATAGAAGTAGAACAATAGATTCTAACCCATGGTTTTGCTTTGGCCACATGAAATACTAATGTAAACCCTTTCATGTCTATGCTACATGATGACTATGGAGAAAGTTTTGTCCTTGAAAGGGGAAGTTACCAGGAAATTCATGAAAATTTGAGTTGATAACTTTGTGGAACTTATCAGATAGAAAAATAAAAAGTCACATATATACAGTATTCTTTTCTCTTTTTCTTTCCTCTTTACTTTAACATTTAATTTATAAGTTGTAATGTTAATACTGACTGTTTCATATTGATATTAAATAACACAACTATCTGAATAAATATTAAGGCATTGCTTATTTCACATTTTATTTTGTACATAGAATGTTATAGGGATTTTTCATGTTCTACCAAAATTTTTTTTAGGGATGTCTTCCAGTATGTACAAAGTTCGTACTGAGTATAGAAGTAGCATACCTTTCCCAAAGGAGGTTTCCGAGGTCAATTCAAGGAAGAATGAGTCGCAATGCCACTAGTGATCTTGAATATATTGTAGTGATTTACTTGGAGAACATCATCTAGGACAACTTTTTTTTCTTCTTAAATGGTGGTGTATTAACAAAATAAAGCAGTACAGGTGCACAGGGAGCATTCCCCCAGTCAAACAGAACATATTGAGAAAGCCCACTTCCAGTAAGAACATGCAAACAAGAGCTGTCTAGACTAGGAAATTATGTAGAGATATGTGATGAACATCTAAAACTTCGAACAACATATTTCGTGCCACCACTTCTGGGGATGAAACAGCAGTCCCATGTAGCCTTGCATTTCTCTCTTACCATATACCTCATAGAATAGCCACAAAATAGCTAGGAAATATCTTGGATTGATGTTGCTGTCGAAACCAGAGTACCATTCTCCTAATTGAGTTCCACCTTCAAAAGTGGACATTTCCAAGTTCAGCAAGGAGGTAACCCAATGCCACACTTGTTAAGCAATTGGACAGGAGAAGAAAATGTGGTCTGTAGTATATTCTCATGAAGACATAAAGAACATCTGGCTGCAAGTATAACATTTCTTTTTTGCAAATTCACCATGGTTGGGAGCCTATCCAACATCACAAAGGTAGCTTTTACAGACCACCTTGGCCGACTCTTACCCCAGCACATGTCATGCCAATCCACCCTCTCATGGGTAGTTCTACATGAGTTCCAAGGCTTCTTGAAGGAGAAGTTATCACAATCCCATCTCATTCTGTTATTACCAGCTTTGATAGGGCAGCTAAGCACAAAGTTTCTAAAAGCAGCAAGGGAATCATCGAGCAGCATGTGGATGTTCCATGAACCTTCTGTCAAGAGGTTTTGTAGCTTTGCGTCTTTAGGTAGATATATTTTCCGAACTACCCTATGGCCAAATTTCTGGGCTACAGTTTGGCCATTACACCAAGTTTCAAGGAATAAGTTGATATGCTGTCCATTACCTATAAGATAAAGTGACATTTTGTTGAGCACACTCCCTAACCTTCAGCTTTGGTTTTAGTAATGAGATCCCATCTGAGTAAGTGCAGCTTCTTGGCATTTTCCTTGCTGCCCCATAGAAAGTCTCTGCATAGATTTTGAATGTGGTTGATGACTGATACAGGTAAATGGAAGATATTACACCAGTACAGAATCAAGCGGGTAATCACTGTTTTCAAAAGCACCACCTTCCCAGCCACGGATAGAAAGTTATTGGTCAACTAGGCCAGTGCAATTTGTTCTTTTTAGGCTATTAGGACAAAGAGGAAGGCCAAGGTATTTGAGGGGCATCTTCTCTTCCTTGCATTGGATGATTTGAAGGATTGCATGTTTCCTCCTTACAGCTCTCGAAAAGACAATGCAGCTTTTCTGTCTGTTAATTTATAATCCAGTTATGTCTTCAAAGTGCTTGAGTGAATAGAAAAGCATTCTAGCATTGGAGATAGAAGCCCTGCAAGATATCAATAAGTCATCTGCGAAGAAAATATGGTTGAGTGAAGAGTGTGCTTTCTGGGCTGTGTGAGAGACCACCAACTCTCCTTGAGTCACTGCTGCATTTAGACTCTGTGAATGTGATGCTTCCAAATTTTAGCATTTTTCATTTTTTCTGGGAATTTTTCGCCGCAAGGGCATTTTCGTCTTTTCACTTATCGTCCGGAATTGTTGTTGGGTCCAATTTTATTTTGTGGAATTTAATTTGTGTGATGATGTAGCATTTATTTAGAGGAGTATTTTATGTGTATGAGGTGTAAATTAAGCAAAAAGAAAAAGAGAAAAGAAAATTAAAGTAAGTGGGCCCCACCACCCACCCACAAAATGGGTGAGAAACCCATTTCTCCCTCTCACTCTCTCTTTCCCGTAAGCCCTTCTGCTCTCTCATTTTCTCTCTTCTTTTTCTTTTCACTTGTGAACCAAACTTTGGATTTTGATTTCTCACTCATCGCTTATCGGATTGAGGGGCCGTTTGAGGCAAAACGAAGCTCGTGTCAAGCTCTATACATCCATACCATCAATTTCCAGCTTTGGGCACCTATTGGAGTGCGAATTTGAAACCCATTTCTAGGGATTTCGCTTGATTTCGGGGTAGGGGCATCTTAATCCATCTACTTCTTGTCCCATTGTGAATTATGTATCTTT